CGCTTTGCTCTCCGACCTTGGGATTCTCGAGACCGTCGAGTCCCATCTTGACGCACTGCGCTTGAAGGATTATGCCCGCTTGGTCCACCCGACGTACCGAAACCTTACTCTCGAGTTTTTCAGTACTCTCGAGATGCCGGCGACCGAGGACTATATGACGTGCCGTCTATTTGGGACGGAGAGGATCATCACCCTCGCCATCATGGAGGAGGTCGTGAGTCTCCACTCGGGTGGCGCACGTACGAATGAGGGCATGTATCTGGATGTTTTCTGGCCCCAGCTTTCTCCCGACACGGTGTGGGACTCCCAGGGCATGCCTAATAGCCTTATCAAGGACGGTGCTGTCGCCGTGATGCACAAATTTCTGTGCTACGGTGTGTTCGGGAAGAAGGAGGCCAACAAGGTCACTCAGATTGACCTCGCTCTGCTGTGGGCCATGATCGCGAGGAAGGACCGAGATATATTGTATATTTTTAAGGAGGAGTGCCGGGCCATCATTCGGAACAAGCGAGCAGCGGCTTGCTTTGGTCATATAGTGACCGCTTTGGCGTTGCACTTCGGGGATGACCCGGAGGCGTCTGGCAGCCTTCCTTCACGTATGCGTTTCATCGATTATTACGAGCTCAGTCATGCGGGCCTCCTTCTTAATCGTCGCACCTTTGAGGTTTATGAGAAGCGCACGGCCTACCTCACTTATATGAGGAAGGTGGCCGCGGCCGCCTCCGCGGCTGAAGCCGGCTCGTCTCGTCCTCGTCCGGCAACTGAGGCTACCCACGAGACGGAGGCGATGGAGCACGACCAGGCTCTTATCGACGAGGATCATCGCCTTCCGCCTCCTGATGCTTGGCACCCGACCCCAGAGGCTGCTTCTAGGGAGCCACGGCCCACGCGTTCGCCTCCGCGCCCGGCGGAGCCATCTGCTCCCCCTGCTTGGTGGTCCCAGCCTCCTCCGTGGTGGACGGCTTACGAGGACCGTTATGATCGCGATATGCGGGATATTAATGCCCGTTTTCAGGCTATTGAGCTGTGGCAGAACCAGTGGAACGATCGTTACGCCCCGTGGAGCTCCGGCACCAGCCAGCCCTATCCTCCTCCTCCTTCTCCTCCTCATGGTCCACAGTGACTTGTCACTGTGTTGGTTAGCTTTTCTTTTTCTTTTCTCTTTATTTTGTTTCTCTTTTGTCTTTTCTCTTAATTGTGTTTTGTCGGTTAATTGTGTAAGTGCTACTTCCTTTCGCTGCGGATAGACAATGGGGACATTGTCTGATTTTCAGTGTGGGGGAGTTTATGTGGCTGCATGATTGACCAGGTCTAGTTGTTTTTCTTGTTTTAGGGTGTGTTTTATTTCTTTCTTTTGCTTGTGGACCAGTCTAGTGAAGGATTTTTGGAGTCTGTACTTGGAAAATTCATGATGAGTTAAGACATGTTTAATGAATCCGATGAGTTGTGATGATGGTATTGTATGGCATAACATGATGAAATGCTTGGTTAATGACTTTGAGTGACACTCATATATTTGCCTAGTGAGGTTTGAGCCTTATTTCCTTCTTGAGATACATTGGTCATGCTCTTGTTTGATTAGAACTTGCCCTGAGTCTGCGTCGAAATGGATCAATCTGAGCTGTGAACTGTGAATATGATTAAGGCATTTTTTGTATCTTCCTATCCTTGTTTTTTTCTGCAGTTATTCCCTAGTTGCCCTTTTGAGCCTAATTGTTTTCTTTTATAACCCTGTGATGATGACATTATTGAGTTTCGGGTTGAGAATGGGAGAGGATAATTGTGGAGTTTGTTTATATTCTCAAAAAAAAAAAAAAAAAAAATGTAACCGATTTGCATCTATTTATACTAAACATTTTAGCATAAAATAATCAATATTTAGTAATATTTAAATAAAATCATATTTTATTTAAATAATGTTTACTAACTATTGACTTTGAAAATAATAATCTATGTTTGGTTGTTCATAACCACCATTACCAACCATCTATTATAATCATATTTATTATTTTAATCCTTAAATCATATTTAAAGATATAAATAATAATTGAATAATAAATCTTGAGAATCTTTCTCAAGACTTTATTATTATATCATTTTCCCAATTTTTATCCATATTATAATAATCATATTATTATTATTTTGGATTTTTAAATTTAAAATCCTATTTTAAAATTCAACTTTATTAATTTAGTAATCACCTGAATTACTAAAGTAATATCCAAAATGTAATTAATCAATCTTATTGATTAATATATTCCTTTAATTGACATCTAATCAAATTAGATATTTATCAATTAATTCTAACCATTAAAAATACAATCTTTACCTTTGTTCATAATTAGTGTGACCTTTTAGGTTCACTATTAATACTAGTAGTGGGTTTACAACACTTTGTAATTTGAGTTAAATCTAATTAACTCTTATTCTTGAATTAACTCTTTAATTCTAGAACCCACATATCATGGTAACACCTAGCAAGCAGCATGAATCTAGTATTAAGTGAATAGCGAGTAAACCTATTTCAATTACAACTGTTTGTCCCATTTTTGTGTCTTTATTTCATGTTTATTTTCTTTTTGTTTTCCCCCATTTGTAGGATTTTCGTAGTTCATTTGGTCCATTTCGTCCATTTTGCGTTTTTATCTTTAGTTTATATTTTTGTATCTTTTTGTCGTGTTTTGCTTCGTGTTTTTCCTTGTTTTTGTGTTTTCAGGAGGTAGAATGTGCCAGTCGAGGATGAGACTATTTGAGCCGAGTCCATGATATCGAGAATACCCGTTGCCGAGCCAGAAGACTAAAGAAAGGCTAGAAAATCGGACAGAATCTGTTCCCAGGAATTCTCGCGACTCGCGAGTAGTCTCGCGACTCGCGACTCGGGTCGCGACTCGCGAACATGTCGCGACCCGCGAGAAAAACTGTGGGTAAAAGGCAGTTGCGAGTCGATGTCGCGACTCGCGAGAGGATCTCGCGACTCGCGAGGTGTAGTCGCGACTCGCGACCCATGTCGCGACCTGTCCCAGAAAGTTATCAATTTGAAGACGCGCGACTCGCGAGGAAGTCGCGACTCGCGACCAAGACAAAGGCCATCTCGCGACTCGCGACTCAAGTCGCGAGTCGCGACTTAACCGGCGCGTTTTTCGAGGAGCGGGATTTTTTATTGCTGTTTTTGATCCTAGGTTTAGGATAGACCATTCAGACTTTATTTTTACGTTCCCTCTGGAGAAAAGACCATTCCTTTTCTTTCTTTCGCACTTTCGAATTGTTTTGGGGGATTTGACAACTTCTATTGTCTTGCTTGGGATTGGATACTATTGGATTGAGTTCAGAATTTTCATTAATCGTAAGTATTTTTCTTCAATTCTTCAATTGATGATGATGTCTTGGGTTATGAATGTTTGCGTAATCAAATCCAATATGAGTAGCTAAATCCATCTGCTAGGGATAGGGGATAATTGATTAGGTTCAATTATAATTGCTTGTTCTTAATTGTTCATATCTATGCGAGTTGAGTTCAATTTAGGGTTAATAGATTGATCACCTATATAACCTAGTTAATCATTGTTTAGAACCGAAAGGGGAGACATTGGTCGATTTAGGCTCGTTTAGAATAGACTTGTTCGTCAAAGTATTGTCTATGAGTTGCTGGATTTGATAGTCAATCGTATATGTTCACTCTCTTGTTACGAAGAGTTATTGAGAGTGGACCTCTAAACGAGAGACGACTCACTTCCTTAAACCGAGCAATTGATTGCCGGTAGTTGTGTAAGAACCGAAAGCAGTTGTCCCCGATTCCCTAGCTCTTTAAATTCTCAGTTAATTCGTTACTGTTCATTTAGTGCTTTATTTAATTTAAAGTTGGTAGTTGATAATTGAAACCCAAATCTTTGAACTAGAGTGTTTAGGATTTTTATCTTCTTTTGTGATTGAATAATCGAACAATTGTATCCGGCTAACCTTCCTCGAGAGATCGACCCGGGAAACGAATCTTTCGATTCGGTACTCGGTAAATATATTTTGCTACAACAAAATTACTCGGTAAATATATTTTGCTACAACACAGACCCAAAAAAACAAACAAACAAAGAAACAAGACAAAGAAACAAACACAGAGAGTTTGTCAGGAACCAAAAAAAAAAAGAAAAAGAAAAAACAGAAATAAAAAAACAAAAGAAACAAACAGGGGTATCAATGAAAAAGGCAAAATTGCATTAAACTCACCATATTCAGGGATGTCTGCGTCCCAATATTCCTTTGACCTAATCCGTATGGACTTCACCATCTTCACGTTCGTTCAATCAACCTTCTCACCCAATCGGCCTTTATCTCCTTCTCACTCAATCAGCCTTTATCGCATCGTCGTCTCTCTGAAATCGTTTCTCTCTGGAATCTTCTCTCAAGAACGCCTTTCTTCAATTTCTCTCCTCTCTGGAAAAAACCCGATTGAATGAAAATTAGGGTTTTGATCTTCTGAAATAACATTTCATCTGCCAATTTTCCCTCCATTAATAATTGATTACGTGTTATTTTCTGTTTTTTTTTTAATTTATTTTTCTATTTTTTAATGCCGCGTGGAATTTTGTTTTTTTCTGTTTTTTTTTTATTTCATTTGGTTGCCACGTCGGCGTCCAGGCTTGCCATGTCAGAGGAGATCGACTATGAGGGCGTCACGTGCGGGCCACGTGACAAATCCAACCACAGTGTTGACTTTTGGTCGCCGGAAGGACTAAAATTGCGTTGACTTTCTAAGTTACGGGACTAAATAGAAAATTGCTCCGATCTCAGGACTAAAAATGCCACGAGGCCAAAGCAGCAGGACCAAAAATGCAATTTTGCCTAAACACTTTATACCATGTGGATTGTCTCACCAAAAATCCTCAAACATAAATGGCCTAAACGTCCATTACTTTTGTGCAACTTGTGAGTGACGATGAGACATTGTTATGTCACTTGATGCAAATTTTGTAAATGTATTATTATTTATCAATAAGTAATTAAAAATGGTGGTAGAGTTTCTCAGCTCTATTTGATATATGAAAATTCAATTGAATTGTGCTTCCTAAGAGTCTTTGGGGTTTGAGGGTGTATTTAATTAGGATTTTTAAAAAAAATTTAAGACTTTAAAAATCTTGGTGTAAAGTCTTACAAAATTCTGAGGTATTTAATTTATTTGACACTAAGATTTGTTAAGACTTTTTAAGATTTGGTGAGATCTCAATTCTATTCAAATCCTTCTTCCAGACGTAGGATTTCACGGAATTTCTCCATAATCTGAAAATCTTAACAAATCTCACGGAATTTGAAATCTTAACAAATCTCAAATCTTAAAAAGTCTTAAAATGTCACTTGAAATCTCAATTTAAATAATAAATTTGAAGTTTGTGCTTCGTGAAAAAGTATCCTATTCCAATATATTAAATATGATAATTTTGATGAGTATCATATTATAATATGTTCAATCTTGGTTCTCATCCATTGTACTTCTTCTAATAAATCATGAATTTGCACACATCTAAAGAGTACACTATCCCAATACGAACCGTTAGAGGATCTCGAATTTGTACTCATTTGAATTGTAGACTTTCCCAATACGATCCATTTCAATTTGTAGCATCACTAGGCTGCAAAAGATTCTTGAGTTTTCAAATTTTCAGATTGAACTCATAAAATTTTAGTAAGTCTAACAACCCATGTTTCAGAAGAGAGAGA